GTTAGAATGGCTGATTGCACCATACAGAAAACTGTACTGAAAGGATCATTTCAAACATAACTTTACTTACTTTTTCCTGGGGTCCACCATGCACTACCCTTCAACCACACAGCCCACTTTCAGCCTAAGTGCCGTAACAATTGATTAGGAGGCCATCTGTCCATGTGACACTAAATGCAAAATGTCAGACCAGATGGCTCTTAAACTTCAGTCTGGCCTGGATTCTGGAACAACCTTTCAAACACCCACAAGATGTTATACAATAAAGTATATTTATAGTAATTGTACCATATTCAGAGACAAGTCCTTTGTGCTAGCATTTCACATGTGCTGTTACGCTTGCTCCAAGCAGATGGAGGTATAAGGTATAAAAGAAATAATCTGGGCAATGGTTTCTGAATAGTTTTTAGTATGATCCATACTTCCTAAAATCTGAGTGGTGCAGGTAAAGTTTGTTTGGTGCAGGTAATTTTCAATGTCACATGAATGTGCACCAGTGCAGGCCAGTATGCAGAAAAAAAGGATTTGGAGCCCTGAGTACAGTGTACTAAAAAGCTGAGGCCATGAAAACTTGTCATATCACAGTTAACGAGCTCTAACAAGAACCTGATGAAAAACTGACCCACCCTCCCACACTGACCTCAAGGTCAATTGTTCAGTAACCTTTGCACGACCTTTAAATCACAGCTCTTAGAATTAGTCAATTTTGACCTTACCTGAATCAAAAATGTAATGATGTTTCAAGCGAAAACTTCTTGTTGGAAATAGTCCGAGGTACAGTTGTGCTACACAGGATGAAGTTGAAACTTGAGAACCATAAAATGCAGGCGAAAGTTGACCGGAAGGCTAACTGGAAACACAATGGTCGAACTGCACACTTCTATGGCATATGGCCTTTCTAAAGTGGTCCCCTTTTTTTGTTCAATTTGAGAGGTTTAGATTAATTTGTTCCAGTTATTGTGGCAGTGCCATCTGTGACCCCTCCATGTTTTTGTTATGGTAATCATTTTTGGAGCTGGTGCATGCCGGCCACACTCACATTGTCTGTACAACCTGTTTCACCACTTCTGGTGCACTTGTGATGATCACAGACCTTCCTACTATTTTGTCCAATTTTCCTTTCATCCACAAAATACAGACAACAATCAAATGCTGGTCTGTTTTGTTGGCCACTAGATAAGTCAAACCTGTACAAGTGACCACATGGCCGTTGATGCACAGTCAAACCTGTACTAGTGACCACCTCCACAAAAGGACCACGACAGGGCAATATGGCCACTTTTTGGTGGTCCCTTACTGAATTTTCCAATGACACAAGCATTAGGAATCCTGTCTATATAGTGACCACCTGTCTACATGGCTCGATATTTTGGTTCCCTGGCCTGAGTGGCCTTTTTGGGCAGTCTTGACTGTACATCACTAATTATGGCATAATGCTATATTGCAAAAGAATTAATAGTATGTAAATGTAGACTTCAACATATTTCTATTTATGACAAAAAGTTTCTGACCCCTAAGATCAGGTTCTACATAATACCGTGACATCAAAAATGCATGTATCTTGCTGTAAGTTGCCTGTGAAGATGAGGTAAAACAACATACATGTATTATAGGAAGTAATGTATCATCCTCCCATATTTATTTTAACTTTTCACCTTTCCATACTGCAGAAACTAAAGCTCACAAAAGCTTTTCTGGAAACCAAGGTTAAAAAGAGAAACCCAACTGGTAAATCCTCGTCCAAATGCCATCATCAAACTTTCATGTCCTGATTGCTTCTTTCGGGGAAATTTTCCCTCCAAAGCATTTGGGGGGATCAGATGTCAAGAAAGCACTAAAATACAGGAAAACTGACCATGAATATTTCATAAGGAACTCTGGCCGCAATTGTGGCGGGGCCAAAAGATTGACAGGAAAATGAAACTGAGGGTTACATAATCTTAGGAGTCATAAATATGTTATAGAAATGGCATGCAGATGTTGCGATGAGAAATTAGGGCAAGGGTAACTTTTCTCTGAAAAAAAAAGTACTAGTATAGTGCATGTACTTCACAGGCTGAATAGCAGGTAGAATGGGCATACATAACATAAGTACCATGCATTCAAAGGCTCCCAAAGTCATTCAGGGCAGTAAAACTGGATTTTGAAAGTCAATGTTCTGGTCATTTTTTTAGAGTATTAAGTTGATTCATCCTCTTAGCATACTGGTGATATCTGTGAGGCAAAAATGTGATGTCATGATGACAAAGATGTTTTGCATTACCACCCAGAAATTGCACTAATTCGCAATCATGTTACGTTATTGCCAGTTTGAATGATAGGCAAACTGCTGTGCATATTCTAGTAATGCCTTGTTTGATTTTGGTATCTGTTAAAGTGTTTTACAACCAGTTATACCAATTGTGTACTTTGGGTGTCAGTGATACTGATTGTTGATTGTACACAGTTGATAAAACAATCTACTAAAAGATAATTACACAAACAATTTCTTAATCAATACAAACAATTGCAGGATGGAATACACATCCCCATTTCCTGACATGCGGGAGGAAAAACATTCTCAACCTCAGTCAGCAGTCGTGTTGCCTGCAGCTGTTTTGTCAACAACAGATCAAGAATTTCCGACGACCTTCTCCAAAAATACCAACCTGTAAAATCTGTTTACCTGATGTGACCTCTAGTCGTATGCGGGTACAAGGCCTCAGACACAGTGCTTGTGATTTAGTGCATGTCTGTGGTAATTAATTTGGGACTAATTATCACTAATTAAACTGCCACCTATTGTTCGAAGGTCGTTATGTGGTCTGGTAGTCATCAAAAGATTGCTGTCACGGAGTGGAGAAACATAATTCATTGTATAATTTGTTGGGAAAAGGTCTTTCACGTCACAAAAATCTTTTGGCATGTTTCAAAATGCCATAAAATGGACCTTCAAATGAAAGTAGCGCCAGGCTTGCATTCCAAGTTCAGATCCATGGCCTCTTTAGCAGGCTCTACTACTTTGGGGGCTTAAAAATATTATTTGCTTTAGATTTGTGATAGTATGACAGTACTCAGTTCTAATTGTACTCTGTGCAAAAAATAAACAAAAAAACAAGCACCTGCAAGTCCCCAATAGCCTGACTCAGGCTCTGCTAAAGAGGCTATGGTACATGTAGGTCTCTTAAATGATGTCAACTTTGGATGACTACAGGTCGGGTACCTATGTAAATGATGACGCATCAGCTCCAGAGAGCCGGCTACATTGTTGACGTATTTGAGAATCTATGATGCACTCTCCAGGAATCTTACTTCCAAGTCAAGTGCCTTGGTGTTCCTTTGTTTACTCCAAACGTTGGTGCGAGATCAGGAGAAGAAAGGGCTGAAGTATTTGCCCAGCTGTCAGTCAGTGGTTAGTGTATCATGCCCGCTACAAGACCACAAACTTCCCTCCGTCTTTGAAGGAAAACTTCTGAGGCTTTACGAGGATGCAAATCAATTTACGAAAAGTGCATCCGTCCTATGCTTTCTCAACAACCTCTCTGCAGGTTCTAAGCCCCAATTTCCGCCACCATGGTAAAAAAAAGAGGTACCCACTGAAATTATTATACAAATTTAGGAATGGTATGATTCAATATTCCATGTAAAAAAAATACCTCAATGTAATTACTAACTGTGAATATTGAATATGAAATTATGAATGGTAACATCAAATATTATCAATCCAAGCACATTATTACAGTGGTTCTGTCTAATTCTGGTAACTCTCTAGATCTACATGTACATGTATTTACAAGTTTGAAGGTGTGTATTATATATTTCTATATTGGGCTTCAATCTTGTCTTTCAATAGAAGATTGTTGCTATCACTGTCACACCTCAGGCCATTACAATTGTGTAATTAGCTGTACAACAAGGGGACATTATAGCGAGACAACAGATAATGCAGGCCTTGAGGTGGAAGAAGAGCTGCTGTAACCTTCTGGTTTGTCAGGCCCTGCCACTTACAATTCCTTACACATGAGGTCACTAACAACCGTGGCACAACCAACAGATAGAAGAAGACCTCAATTGTCTTCCCTGCGCAGAAATGTGACCTTTCTCTAAATCTGATGATATTTGGTTGTTTTGTTGACGTTGTCATGAGACGTGTTGGAGATCAAAAACTCAGAATTTAGTACTTGTATTTACCGGGTTCTGGCTGGCCGAAAAACTTGAACGTTGTCATGCTTGAGAGAGCCGGCAACATAGTAGCTGGAACTGAGCCAGGGAAAGATCAGCAGAAGTTTTTGTCCTCTCCTAACAATGTGTTGTATGGTAAAATTGTAGTTGACAGTTGGGGTGTGAAGTTTTGACAGTTGGGATTTGACAGAAATTATACCTTCAGGTAGAAATTATCTCACCTTTGGAACAAAATGCATTAGCTACTCTATGACTATATTAGACACTAATAGTCACACAAACCCACCCAGCTGGAAGAGACACAATGTCTTTCATGTGGGAACATGCACTGTATTTGGTTGTAACTATAGCATTTCACTATTGTAACAGTAAATTTCTCCCTCGAGTCCCACCCAACAAGCCCATTTACAAACTGATTATAGCAAGTATCAATTTGTACACAACATGTACAACTAGAAGCAGAAAGTTTTGTGTGTACATGTACATGTAAGCTCTTACCCTCTGCCCTGAATGTAACAATTACAAATCCACCAAAACTCTCTGTCAAAAACATCAGCCCTCCCAACATAAACCTAAGGAGCAAGACAGTTACCAGGACCTATACACTTTAACATTGGCCAGCTCCTCCTCTCCAGGGCAAGGGTCTAACTCAGGGGACTGAGTCAAACTTTTCTTGGGGCATGTTGGCCCTGGTGCCTGAGGAGCTGGCCTGTGTACGTCCTGAAAACTGTCTGGCATCCAGGCTACCGCAACCCAAGAAGACTCCATTCCCATAATATTTTAGCAGCACAATTAACAAGTAGGAACAGAAGTTTTGTAACAACTTGAAATCTACTCACCCTCTGCTATCCTGGAAGTCTCCACCCTGCAGTAACACACAGAAGACAGGAATATGTCAGCAGGACAGCCACTCAAAACAAACTCCCCAACATGTCCAGCAACAGGAACAACACATGTGCCCACTGCTGGTCTGACATGAGGCATCACAATACCAGGGGAGGGGCCAGATTATGCAGACTGACAGGGAAGGACAATGGACCCCCTCAAACTTCAAAGGGGTTGATTTGCAATGGAGAAGTGCTGCACTTTCATCTAGTGATCCCCCTGTTACAGAATGGTAGCATCTCAATTTCTGTCATAAAGGGCAGTTTTGGACTTGACCATTGAACATTTGGGTAGGACATAGAGATTTTTTTTCATAGAGTTTCTCAAACTTTCTGCAAAAACATGGCCTAGTATTGTGCAAGGATCTGTATAATGTCCTTGGTATTGTGTGTGTGCTAAGCTGTGATCAAATTGTGACCATGAAAGTCTGTTTCCAAATATAAATTTTTGTGATGAATTTTGAGTCTTGCAGCTGCTTGCTGGTCTAAAGAGGGACACACTTCTTATTTCTAGTTCTATCACTTTCACTTTCAAATGCCAACTACGGATATCAACTTATATAGGGTCCTTCAACATTATGAAGTTACTCCTTGACATAACTCAATATATCTACTCAAGGACGTTCAACACATGTGTGGAACGTCCTTGATCTACTACATTCATGTCTTCTTGCAATATTCAAGGAGGTTCACAAATCATTATATTTGTAGCATATGGGTCATGTACAGGACATCCAAATCTTTAAGCATCAAAATCCACAGGAAACGTACCAAAAATCTAAATATTTCAATATTCCGTGAATTTACGAGATTTTAAAGTTAAACCTCCTTGAATATTCCTTGTCACAGCCATGTCATGTCCCAAGTGGGCCAGGTACCCACAAACGAGGTGTGAAAATGTCATTTCACACCTGGGTGCAAATGGGCACCCCTCCTGGGAAATGGTATTACCCAGACACAAGTGTGTATTGGCCAGCAGCCATTCACTCAATGGGAAACATGTGCAAAGATCAGGGATATATGATGAGGCTGTATTCAGTTCAGTACATATAAACTACATCATAAAAGTAGGTATAGCACAGTCTGAAAGTATGCTTGTTTATAGATTAACATACATTGTCAGCATTGTCACAGAAAAAAAACAACATACTGGTAGGCATCATCCATGTATTCTTTATCTAAACCAGGCAGTTTTTCTCAAAGCTTTTCATACTGAAGATTCCAAATCTTGATAAATACCAGCTGACTGACATAAAAGACTTAAGCAGCCCTATAACTAAAAGTACAACATGTATAAGAGATCAAAGGTTCCACTAAAGGCTCTAAAAGACCTCCTGTTGTCTGTAGAAGACAGCTGCTGTAGCTTTGAAAAATATCTGTTCCTCAAAATGGACTCTTTCTATTCATTATGTGGAGGTATTTTACCCTGGTTGAAAATCAAATTGACAGTTTTCCAAATAAAGTATGGACAACAGCACTTTGATGTTCTATAAATGGTCATTTGAGAATCAAGCAGGTGGCAAACTTATTTATCACAACCTGTCTTTGATGAAATCCCTTGCTTTGAAGTCTATACCTTCCGAAGTATAATTTTTTGTTGTTCTTGAAAGCCTCTTACTTCCAAAACAGGGTTAAAAGTTCTGTTTTTTCCAAAACAGGTTATGAAATTGAAAAGACAAAGTACACCAAAGACTAGCATCTGAGTTTCATTCAGTTCAGCTCATCCAAGCTAGACCAGTATAAGTATAACATTACATTGTTTAATACTTCCACTAACAACATCATACAGCAATGAACATTCACTGAAGGCACTGGCGTCAACAGGAAGAACACTATCTTTCCGGTGAAGCAAAAGTAATACATTGATTATTTGATTAAAGGCTATGGGAGATGAAAGGACTTGATCACAGTTACATAGCCTTGTGTAGACACAGCTTGGATAGCTTGGTAGAAAAGTCTTCTGTAGTTTATAGACAACCTAGGGGTCACCCCTACTATTCTTGATGAGTGTGCTGGGTTCTTTAATTTGTAGAGCTTAACCTTCTCTCCGCTGACTAACCAGTAGCCAATACCAGGTCCTTGCCAATGGTAACAAACTGCTACCTTAGCAGGATGAAGGTTAATTATTTATCTAACAGAAAAGGGCATACCGACCCTGACAGAGAGGAGATCCTGTTTGTCCATCACTACTTCAGCTAACCCCTGATCTGATCCAGCTCTCATCAAAACAAACCCCCTCAGTTATGACCTACTTTCCCCAGAGCCTTGTGATGCCTGACACTCAGCAGTGGTACATACAGCACATACCACTGCCAGCTGATCCAGTCATCCAAATGTTGATATGTTAACAGTTCTTAGCCGCCTGCGTAGATATTCTGGTGGCCTGCGGTCAAGTTCTAGTTTTTCAGTCTGAATTTTCTTCTGTTTTCTCATTGTTTGTATTATTGACATATTGGTGATGTGCAGATAGAGCCAGGCCACAGAAAAACCAAAAATGACTAACACGCAGCTAGTGACATTAAAACACATACCACTGCCAGCTGACGTCAAGCCAAATGTCGATACAGTTGTTTCGCATCATGTGCGGTCCTTGTCTGATTTTGTGGCGAGTTTCTATATCTTTTAATTGTGCTGTTTTCTGATTGTTAGCGTGGGTTCAGGTGTAAAGCCAAATGTCTTCATTCATTAAAAAAATGTTGATATGTTATCAGTTCTTTCTTTGGAACTACTTTCAAAAGCTAACTTAACAGTTCATGGCATACCATAGTAAAGGAAGGTATGTCACTTCAAATCACTGACACAAGGCAGTGGCACATACAACACATACCACACTGCTAGGTGACGTCACTCAAAATGTCGAAACCTTTCTTTAGCATTATACAAGTATCAACAATTCAGGTCAACAGAATAACTGACAAACAACAGTTGCACATACAACACCATCTACGCCATCGTAGCCAGATGACCTCATTCAAACTTTCATTCCTTGGATTCATTCAATGACAAATATCATACCCAAGCTAAGAAAAGTACATTGATGCATTGTTACCATTTTTTCTATCATCTAATATTTTTCATTGCTTTCTGAACAAAATAGACATTCATATGAATTAGACTACTGTCCAAAAATTCAGAACTGTACAGACAGGAATACTCAGAAAGTAGCCAAGGAAAACTCCTCTCAAGAGCAAACCAGGCATGATCATCCATATAGCTGACAAGTTTGGTTGGCTCTGCCTCAACTTCTAAAAGAGGGTCTGCATGCCCTTTTTCGTTAACCGTTATGGGCTATTTTAATTTACCGTTAATCGTTGCCGGCCCGCTCTAATTCAACGTTAAGCGTTATCAGTATATTCCTCGTGAAGCGTTATGGGTCGTTTTAATTCAACGTAAAACGTTATTTGTCATCCTGAATTCAGCGTTAAGCGTTAATGAATAATTCTTCGTTACGCCTAATTTTGCCTATCAAAGTGCAGGAAAATGCGTCATTGAAGGTTTAAAAATACAAAATTTCCCCGGGGAGAATGCCCCCGGACCCCCCTACATTGCTCGCGCCTTTGGCGCTCGACTCGCGCTTCTGCGCTCGGTCCCTTCGGCTCTAGCCAGAACTAGTTTACCCTTCAATTTCCGGAGGTTTGCGGAGAGTTACAGAATTTTTTAACGAATCCGTCAACCTTGACAGGCAAATAACAAAATCTTGAGTAAAATATGAAAACATCAGAAGGACCGTCAAACACTCTCAACACCATGATTTGCCTCTCAAAATGCGGGAAATTGCGTTTTTGAAGGCTTAAAAATCCTAAATTTCCCGGGGGAGCATTCCCCGAACCCCCTAGATTACGAGCGCCTTCGGCGCTCCCCTCTCAAAATCCATCGGTAAAACTGGGCAGACTGAAAAAATAGCAAGCTGGCCGAAGTCGACTCGGACACCCCGGTCGTTTGTGGACGCACTCGGGGACCAGGGCAGGTGGGAAACACAGTGCTTCATTACATGTAAGGTATACGTAATTTTGTCAGTGATCACCTTTTCTCACAAAGCGAGATGCCCTATCCAGTGCAGCTCGAAAAAAAAAGCCTGTCAATTTACCGTTAAGCGTTGCCGACCGTCCTGAATTTACCGTTAAGCGTTATCAGTCCTGCTGAATTTACCGTTAACCGTTGCCAGGACCCCCCCATGCAGACCCTCTAACAGGTAATCAATCTCCTAGTAGGGTCGTGAATTGTATTAGATCAATACGTCATATTGTATATTAGATCAATATATACTGCCACTCAGATCTTTGGGTGTCAGCATACTGCAGGCAAACTGGATACTGCTTGGAAAGTTTGAAACTGTATTTCAGCCACCCAAATATCTGCTTGGAGATGAGTATTAGATTACATGTGAGATAGCGGCCTTGGGAGCTTCGCGGTGCCCTCCTCTTGTTGTTGAGAGGCGACTACTAGTAGACAGACGTCGCTAATTTTGCTTTGGGATTGAAAAAACGGCTCCCTCCTAGACTTCAGACTATATATAAAGAGTTTGACATCACAAA